GAGTCAGGGTGAGTGGCAACTGTGCAAGTGTCTCCCAGCAGCAGGCAATAAGCCTGCTTTAGAAGAGAATGGGCTTTAAAGCCATGACATTTTGTTTATAACTGACTGCACTAACTCTGTCTCTTAGTGCAAATAGTTCTTCTCTCTTCTATCTTCTTTCCTAGAATCACAGAATGGTTTAGGCTGGAAGGGACCCTAAAGATCATCTAGTTCCAACACCTCTGTCATGGGCAGGGACACCTTTGCTACCCTCAAGCTAAACTTATGGAACACTGTGACTTCCTCTTCTTTGTTATGGTACACTAACCATGCTCTGCCAGTCTCCCCTGAAATTAAGATCTTGGTTCACTGATGATCTTCATAGCGTTTTCTGCTCTTGTTGTGAATTTGCCTTTCTCTAAATAAGAATGACCAGAACAGAAACTCAGTGATGTAACAGTGACTTAAAGACAGCATTAATCTCTCAACCCTTCTGTGTATGACATTTCACTGCATTTGAGATTTTACTGGTAAGTCCACTTGTGTCCTGATCAACCAATACAGAGGTCTTTATCCTTCTCTGTTTTTTCCAACACTTGAGTTCCCAGATCATAGCAACATTCTTCTGGTTGGGAAGAACAAACACTGACATATTTAATCTAGCCAATTTTTCAACAGGGCCTTGGAAAACATGAATTATTGCACTTCAGTAAACAGACAATCTTAGGGCAAGATGCAAATACAGTTGCAGTGAAGAAATAGCAAAAGTAGTAATAAAAAATACTCCTGCACTAAACATGACAGTATATGCAGACACCAGCCTATATTTTGTAAAATAGTTACAAGACGTGAAAGCGTACAGTACTTCAGAGAGTAAGAATAAGATGCCTTCTAAGACTTCCACAATTATCTAAAAAAAGACCCCCAAACCCAAACTTAACCAACCAAAAAAACCCTCAAGCTACAAATTTTAATTTCTAACTTTCTCTGTGTTTGGGGAAAATTGTACTTGTAGGAGAAAAAGCAGGTTGATACTGGAAGACTGGAAAAAAAATTCAAAGAATTCTAGATACATGTTGCCGCTCAGGAGAAAGCGAGAAGTAGACAACTTTTCCCACCACCACCCCCCAAAAAACCCCACAACCAAATAAAAATCATCCTTAAGGAAAAACGCCTTCCAAGTCAACAAACAAGCCCTGAGGAATTCTGCTGAAAAATAAAGATCCTTAAACTACTGAAAACTTTTCGTATTTCTTTTTATCTTAAAGCTTTTTTATCTTAATGCTTAATCTAGACAGTTATGCTGCAGTAGAAGGATGTTGCTAAAAACTTTTTACACATGGTGGCAAAGGCAGGACACAGAAACTTTAAAAGACAGAAGGAAAAAAGTACAACGAAAACCTTAACAAGAAAAAGAAGTGGTAACATTGCCCGTGACATGTAGGAACAGTCTCCTCCTTAGTGTATGACCAGCTCAGCATCTGTTTGTACCAACTGTATTATACTAATGATGGTGAACAGTTGCTCAGAATAGACTCTTGGGAGCCTTAATGTGCTTTTCCAGATCCAAAAATTATTTCAGTAAAGAATCAGCATATAAGTTGAGCTTTAAAAAAAAAAAAAAAAAGTTACCTAAATGTTAGCCCAAGTTTCCTCCACAGGATGGCTGTTAGGGAAGTGCTCTTCTAAGGGTCCCATTTCTAGAGCTGGCATCCAAATACTTTTGGGGCTGATAGTATTTTGGCTAAAACTTTCCAGATGTTTTTTCTCTAGTGTTTACCACTGTTTTCATGTGCTGACCATACAACAATACCTTGCAAGATATGAGATATCTCCAACCAATATTCCTATGACACAAGGTTTTAGCTTGTCGTGGAACAACCATCTCTTCAGAGTTCTGGTTCTCACACCACTGCAGGTGCCACTGCCAAAGTCTGATCTGGCTCTCCTTTCTCCACTATTTGCTCTTCCCCACTGAGCCTTGTGGAAACAAGTTGTAATGCATCTTGAATTTTCTGGCTCTTTGCGAAGCCAAAAATTGGCACTGTGCCATCAAAGACTTCAATGCTTATAAAGGATTTCATTCTCTGTAAGGGATCTGTTTCAGGTCTGCTTTCTTATGTCAGGCAGGAATCTATGGGTTTCTATAGGTTTCCACTGTCAAATCCTATGCTGCCATCGCCTATTGGCTGACAGCTGCCAACACTGCCATGATTGTTGTTGGCAAATCCCCCTACAACCTGGTGTAGCTAATTTCCAGGCAGAGTAAACTCCCTGTCATTAGGAGCTTAGCTTCTAGTTAAGCTTCTCTGACAAGTCACGGGGCTCGCTCCACATAGAAAACACCATCGGTCCACTGTTAATGACACAAGTCCTTCAAATAACATATTCCTGCTCCAGAAGTGCCAGCTAGTGCTCAGGAGTAAATTAGAAATTGCAGCCTGTGTTGCATTGTCCAGATCTGCCCTGTATAATTATCCACAGTCTCCACAGCTGCCTCTGTGAAGGGTTGTTGGCTTTCTGGGTTCTGTTTTGGGGATTTTTTTTAATATGCCAGAAACTTGATGGTGCAGTGGCTTTGCTGAGTGTGTTATCACACATCCTGGAGAACCTCTTAGGAGTCGCTGAACATTCATGTACACAGTGAGCAGTACAGGACCCCAGCAAAGCTGAGAGCAGCCTCCAGGCCACCATGTAAAGCTAAGCTATTCCACAACAGCCACAGATGGAATCTGGGAGGCATGGCACATAACACAGCTCCTGGGAAGATGTAAGGCATGTTGCTACTGACCCCTACATCCCGCAGCAGTCTCATGAGGCGCAGCATATTGATAAAGAAACATGATTTGGCAAAGTATAAACATGTCACTGCCTAGGTCCGAGCAATCCTCCTTGGACAGGGACCTTCTCTCCTTCACCATCCAATAGGACACTATCAGAGAATGGAGAAAAAAAAGGCATGGCTGTTCTGCACGTGACACTTGTCTTAAGAAAAAGCCTGAAGGAAAGTGCATGTGTGTGTGTGCATAACTACAGAAATACGTAATGAATGCTTTGATGGCAACGTTTGTAAGAAATGTGAATTGGAAGAGAGAGGTGATGGGTGAAGTAAAGTAACAAACTTGTGAAAGGAGGTTTGCTGGAAGCAGATGATGCACAGGACCTGGATAGGAAGAGTGCTTTTGCTTGGGTTTAGGAATGGAGAGGAAATTATTACATTAGAGGGATTCAGGAAGCTGAAATACAACAGTGAAAAACAAATGGGTTTCTTTGGTTTGGTTCTTTATTTTTGCACAGTTTTACAAAGACAAGTAACCAGTATGTATGTAAGCTAGCTAACAACAATTAGAGAGCAAGGTGGCCTGAAGACTTTTAACTCCCTAGGGAAAGACAGATTCTGCTTTCACAACGACATTTAAGACGGTATGGCAGATGCTACCAATGGAAGAAAGTCAGTCCAAGAAGGTGAGTGGACGAACAGGCAGTAGAGTCACAGATCCAGTCCGGAAATTCAGTAAAACCATGAAAAAGCAAAAGGATAGAGAGGGCAGAAAAAGGGAAAAAAGATCTCGAGACTTCATTACAGTATGAAATCAGAAATCAAGAAGTTGGGAAGGAAACTTAAAATGTTCTAAGTTTGTTTCAGTACTGTAAGACAGCAAAAAAAAAAAACAAAAAACTTTTCAGGAAGCAATGAAGTCGCTTCACTGTTCAAAGGTACACATGCCTTCTAACTGGAGCGATTTTCTCCAACGGTGTAATTCAGTAGGAGCTCTCACTCCTTCCTTCCCCCCAAATCAATAAGCAGGGCCTACACAAAACAAAAGCAGGGAAAACCACCTGGAAAGTGGGGGATTTCCTACGCTGCGGGAGACAGCGCCTGCTCCGCTACAGCCCACAGGATGAGTCAGGATGGAAGGGATCCCACAGCGGGTCATCTGGTCCAACCCCCCTGCACAAACAGGATCATCCTAGAGTACATTGCTCAGAGTTGTGTCCAGACAGTTCTTGAGTATCTTCAGTGAGGGAGACTCCACAACCTCTCTGGGCAACCTCTTCCAGTGCGCCGTCACTCGCACAGTAAAGAAGTTCTTCCTCTGTTCAGGTGGAACCTCCTGTGCATCAGTTTCTGCTCGTTGCCTTTAGAGAGCGCTGATGGCAGAGACACGGAGAGCCGCGGAGGACGCGCAGTGCCGTCAATCGCTTCGTTCAAGGCCCTCCCCCCGTCCGCCGCCATCCTCGCCCCCTCCCGCCGCCCGCCGGGCGGTCGCGGCGCAGTTCCCGCGAGAGCCGCGGAATCGCGAGAGCCGCACGGGACGGACGGGGGAGGAGGAGAGGTCAGATCCCGCGAGAGCTGGCGGTTCTCGGGCATGCGGGCGAAGGCGGCGGCGCCGCGCGCGATTGGCGGGCCGCGCTCCCCCTCCCCCGCGCGCCGCCGGCTCCGCGCATGCGCCGCGCGGCGCCGGCCCGTGTCCGTGTTTCCCCGGTGCGGGTGTCACCGCGCGATATCGTCGAACCCGCGTCAGCGCCCCGGGCACCGCCACCGCCACCTGCGGGCCCCGCCGGGCACGATCCGCGGGAGCGGAGCCGCGCAGCGCCCCGGACGCCCTGCCCGGGGGCGGCCCGGCCCAGCCTGACCCCGCTGCCCTGCCGGGGAGCGCCTGAGGGAGGGGGAGGCGGCCCCGCGGCCCGCGCCCGGTGTCCGTGTCCCCGGCCGCGGCCCAGGATGGAGTAAGGAGGAGCCGCCGCCGCCGGGAGACACTTCCGCGTTGCGGGAGAGGCCGCGCCGGCCTGCGGGGTGCTCCCGGTGCCGCTCCGCCGCTGCCGACTCGGGCAGCGCCCCCAGCCCCGGCCCGACTCCGTATGTACTGCCGGGGCCCCATGTGAGGCGGGCGGGCGGTGCGGGAGCGAGCGAGGCCCTGGCGCGGCCGCAGGGGTCGGTCCCGGTGCGGGTCCCCATGGCGCCCTGAGCGCGGCGGCGGCGGGTTCCTGGGCCGCGCCCTCGGCCGTGAGCGAGCTCGATGCCGAGCACCTCGGACGCGGCGGCCGGCGGGAGCGGGGGCAGCCGGGGCTGGGGCAGCGGCGGCAGCGCGGCGGTGGAGGCGGCGGCCGACAAGAAGCGGCTGCACCACCGGAGGCGGAAGCGCTTCGCGACCCAGCCGCAGCCGCCGCCGCCGGCCCCGCACCCGCTGCTGTTCCCGCTGCTGCAGCCGCCGCTCCTGCAGCCCCCGCTGTTGCAGCCACCACTGCCGCCGCAGTCCCTGCTCTTCTTGGCGGCCACCGGCGCCTCCTCCTGCTGCGGGGACGGCGGGGAGCGGAAGCGGCCGCGGGGCAAGCGGCGCTCGGGTTCCCGGCACAAGCGGCGGCGGGGCCGCGGCGGCGGCGGGGGCGGCGGGGGCACCCAGGAGGCGGAGAAGCGGCGCAGTAGCGGCGGGCTGAGCACGCTGGTGGAGGAGTACGACGACGTGAGCTCCCAGTCCGAGGGGCTGCTGGGCGGCGGTGCGGCCGGCGGGGGCAGCGGTGGGGGTAGCCCGGGCTCCTCGTCGGGCGGCGGGACACAGCGGCAGCGGAGCGAGGCGGAGCGGAGCGGCCGGTCCCGTCGGGAGCACCGCGGTAGCAGCGGGCGCTCCAAGGAGCGGCACCGGGAGCACCGCCGGCGCGGCGAGGACAAGGCGCAACAGGAGGGGGCGGCGGCGCTGGGCCGCGGGGCACCCGAGCCCTCTTCGTCGTCCTCCAAGTCCCGCAGCCGCCACAACCACACCGGGAGCCAGGACCGGGAGGGACTCAAGAGCACCGGCGGCAGCGACAGCCGTAGGAAGGGCTCCCTCGCCTCGCCCAGCAGCGGCAGGAAAGAGCGGGACAGCAAAGCACATCGGAGCCGGACTAAAGCGGCCAAGGAGCCGCCGTCGGCTTACAAGGACCCGCCGAAGGCTTACCGGGACGACAAACCTGAGCCCAAGGCGTACCGGCGGCAGCGCTCGTCGCCCAGCCCCGGGCGGGATGACAGCCCCCCGCTGCACCGCTCCTCGCAGAGCCAGCGCGGCCGCAAGTCGCTCAGCCCGGTGAGCGCCCGCTCACCGCTCAGCCCCTACAGCCGCCGCCGCTCCCCCAGCTACAGCCGGCACAGCTCCTACGAGCGCGGCGGGGATGTGTCACCCAGCCCCTACAGCAGCTGGCGCCGGTCGCGGAGCCCCTACAGCCCCGTTATTCGGTGAGTCCGGGCCGGGGTGGGGCGGGAAGGAGGAATGGGGAAGGGGGCTCGGTATGTGGAGGTGGGTAGTCATGGCTCGGGCTGGGATGCAGGGAAGGTCTGAGAGGTGTGCATTCTGCAACAGTCTTGCCCTCTTGCTGCCAGAAAGCTGGGTCGGGGGGAAGGATAGAGGAACAAGTACAAAGATCTTCCTGTCTTGTCTCTTGGGGGTAAACGGAGACGCGGTTGCCTGTGTCTGTAACACTTCTGCGTCTAGTTTCTCTCCGTGGGAGACCACCTAGCTGGAAAAAGGCTTTTAAATGTAAGAAGGGCACGAGAACATTCTCGGATTGGAGTGACTGATGGAAGATGCTTCTTGGAGGACAGGTTTTCTGATGGACCAATTTTGATTTTTAAATCTTTACTTATAGAGTACAGACATTCTCTGGTACATTTTTATGTATCGTATTGCCCCGTAAAATAGGATTCATATTAAATACATTTGGTTTTGGTTTAATTCCCACTAATCTAAAGAGAGAACAAGCTCACAGGTAGTTTGTGTTTACAAGCGTTTCTTGTTCTTTTTAAAGGTCTACAGAAAGACTTAAACTCTCTGTTTTGCTAGGAAAACGAGTCAATGTCAAGATGTGTTAAATTGTCTTTTGTGCTATACACAACCAATGAAAATAAATGTAAGCTCTTTTTCTAGTAAGGTTGTGTACATGAATGTATTGGAGTGTGTTTGCAAATAATTTTTTTTTCAGTTAGGGGGAACTCGGTGTAAAAGTCAGCATTGCATGATTTTGAATTTTATACGGAGAGGAAATGTGAGCTGTATGTTTCTAATCAGATACAAACTGTGTGGTGGAATTAAAGCTCTTCAGAATATTTTAACCTGCATCAAAGTCCACTGAGAATTTAAAGTACTTGCTCAGTATGTGTTTATAACTGAAGATTTTTATTTCCTATATTGGAATCCTACTGTTGCCTCATTGTTTATAGATTTACTTAAATTCATGTCTGGACTTTTAATTTTAAATGCATCAGGCAATTTGTCGTTCTACTGGCAAAAATTTTGTTTACAAGGCATTACCTTACGTACAAGGCAGTTACCACTTGTCTGGGAACTGTTCTCTGGTGTTTCTAATGAGTACTTTGTGTTGGTTTCCATTTGGGGTGTCCTGTAGTGTATCTAGGGAACATGCTGAAGCTGTTCTTGTGTTTCACTGGCTGTTGGTAGGGTCTGCTGTCCTGGGTGCGCTGTTTAAAGAGCGAAGTAACAAAGCTGTGTCCTACTTTGTTCAGAGAGAGGGAGAACAAAGGTGCCTTGGGATAAAAATAGTGATTGTTTTAAGGTGCGGTTGTATGAAACAGGTTTGTATACGAAGTGTTTCAAACAGAAAACAATGTAATTGCTCTGAAAAACAGCATGTTGTTCTGTGAGAGCCTGTTACAAGTGGTTAAGGACAGACTTTCAATATTATTTTAATAATAACATATTAGGAATATTATCTGCATAGCTTGATTTAAATGCTCAAGGAATCAGATTATTTTTTGTAGTTTCTTATATCCTGGAATAAGAAAGCTAATAATGATGAGCAAAATTATGTACATGAGGTTTGCCTTTGGTAATAGCTGTATTAGTCATGTTGACAGCCCAGTTAAGCCTAGGGTTCTGTCTTATGCCCAGACTGATCAAGTTGTAGTAGAGTTTTGTAGGATTGTGTTTCTTTTTTTTCTGTTGGGCCTGTGATTTTGAAGCATGAGAGTTTAAATGTCCTGATTTTTCTGTTGACTCTGGGGTGAGCAAATCTTTGAGCTGCAGATCTGTTTCTAGGAGTTAGCTATGTGACTTCCCACCTTCCTTCCTCCATCCAGTTAAACTGTAATTTGCATCCAGTTTTTAACTGCTTACAGATAAATGACTTGTTGACAAATGCAGACTGTCAGGTTTACAGGAGAGGTATTGGAATGGTTGAGTGAAAATGAGAGATTGCTATATGTAGAGAGAAATGTTGGTCTGTCCCAATGGGGGATTCATTGCAAAAATATAATTTTCACAGAAAACAAAAGAAACCGAAAGTGTGAAGATTAACTCAGTTCATTACGTTTACTAGTTGTGGAGAAAACAAAGCTAGTGGGTGTTTTTTTTTTTACTCCCATACAGCTATTCCACGCTATGTGTACTGCAGTGGCAGTAGGGAAATAAAGATGGAAGCTTTTTATACTGTTGTTTCAACCACTGAAAACTATATCATGATCACTTTTTGCTGGACTCTCTGATACTACAACCGAAACGCTGAACATTTTTGCTGTCTTGTTTAAGATATAGTGGACTTAGACTTGATAGAATATTACAGTTTCATGAAGGCAACAGCTTCTTACAGCACCTGTTGTTTTCATCTGGATGATTTAAAGACTTAATTCTGGGCTTGTATCCAGCTGTAATGATGTCAGGACAGTAAGAACTTTGTAGGTGACCGAGTATTCCAGCCTGCAAGTATTTTTGCTCTTTTCATCCTATGTCTCATATATGTCTTCTCTGATGTCATGTAAATTATTTAGTTACTTTGGGGTGTAGAAAATAAGAAGGAAGTATTTCTAGCACACTTGGAAAGCTCGTGTTTTGAGTGCTGTTTTTTTCATCTGGATGTCTGAGCTGCTTAGGGAGAAACTTGTAGTAAACAGCTGAAAAGTAAAGTCAGCTTTACTCATTTGCAGCAGCAACAGTGCACTTGAGTGAATTGAGGTTTGAATTGTAGCAGTGAACTCTGACTACTGTCTTTAGGTGATGTTGCCTGGATGTGGGTTCTGAAGAAAAGCAAAGACAATGGATGTGTGTTCCACACTTGGTGAATTCTTTTTGAATGGCAAACTAATTGCCTTTTCCATTATAATAGCAGGAAAAAATTGTGGTTTGGACAAACTGAATGTTTGAGCTGTTTTCGCTTGTCTGACAAAACTTCTTTACTTGCTGCTGATGGATTTGTACTACTGTTTTTTCTTGTGGATAGAGTAACACAGATGTTCTAAAGCAGCACATGCATATTTTCAAAATGGAAATTCTTCTAAAAATATGAGGCATTTATTTCTCTAATGATAAGCTGGTTAAAAAAAAAAATTCACAACCAAACCCCATGGTTGACAAAATAAGCAGACACAGTCTCTCGCTTCCTGCAATTTCATCCTAAAGTAGTTTTCAGAGAACTATTTTTTCTAACTTCAGTCAGGTCATATGTTATGTGATCACACATTTAATTCAGTTAGCAGTACAGATGAATAATCACATTTTTCCAAATTTGGATACACCTACCCATCTGCTTAGATAAAAGTAAGTAGGTGGGGCACTACTAGCATAGTACTACTATATGTATAGATGTTTCTTATAGGAAAGATACAGATTTCTTTTTTTTGGTACTATAGAGCCATCTCAGTCTCTCCCGGTAGCTAGTCTGTATAGTGAGGCTCTGCAAAATGTGGATGATTTATATGCAAAACCACAACAAGCATAGGAAGACAGTAAAATAGATATTCAGCTAGTAAATGCCTACTCCATGGAGAAGACATGGTTTCACACACTGATATGAAAATAACTTTGAATCCAGTAATTCTACTACTTTTGAACTTGAAGGAGTAAGAGACAGTTTGACTTTTTTCTCCCCCTTGACTGGCGGGAATAAGATTTTTTTTTTTACTTAAAGCTCTAATTTTGTTTAGCAAAACTGTATTTTGCAGAATTTAAAATGGGACATTGTATGTTTTCACTGTTTGGAGTAGCTAATTTTTCCAGTGAATATTGAAACTCCCACTCTGTTTCTTATTCTGAATTTATTAATATTTGTTTTGTTAATTAACAGTGGCCTTTGCCTTTTGCCCCAGCCACACTGATGTGTTTCTCCTTTTCCTGGTTGGTGCTGCTTCTTTCCTTATTGTGGGAAGGGAACTCATTTGACAAATTTAACTTCAAATGTGTTTAGAACACAGCTTTTGAGTTGACATTTTACTGGTTGATTTTTTTTTTTTTGGTAGGCCAAGTTCTCATTTGAAAATATAGAGTTATAAAGCAGGTTTAAGAAACAAATAAAAGCCAAGCTCAGAGTTTTCTTGTATTCCATTGCTGTATGTATTGGAGACCCTTTTAAAGGTTTACAGTTTGAATCAATAAGGGAAGTTATATAGTCTTCGTGTAGAAAGCAGCTGAGTTAGGTGGTTGGTTACAGGGCTGCCTAGAATGTAACCTTGACCTAGGGGCTAGAGAAAATAAATAAAATTAATTAATAAGGTATCAAATGAAGGAGTACTATTACTGTAATGGCTTAAAGAAATGAATTGTATGTTTGCCAGTTAGTGCAACATGGAAAAGCTATACTCTGGACTAAAATGTTTCGTCAAGGTGGTTTATGTTAGTGAATGATTATAAATGTCTTGGAAGATTTGCAGTGAAGCCAGTTGATTAATTTAGGTCTCCCTTTTCAAATGCAGTATGACCTTGCCATGCAGTGGAAGTTGGCAGTGCTTAGTCAGTAGTCCAGCATTAACTGCTGGTAAGTGAAAGAGCTGGGCCGCAGTGGTTGTTTTAACCTCCTTTAGACTGTTCGGTTTCGTGTTTTCCCCTTCATATTCTCATTAATCCCTTTGTGTTATGCCTTGTCAAAAGGTTACTGACAAAGTTATTTCCCTTATTCAACTTCATGGGCCCTAATGTATTCTGAGTACAATATTGTGTGCATTTAGGTAACAGCCAGTGTTGCTGGCTACCGGCATGTTGGATGTAGCTGGCTACCAGCATGTTGGATTTAGCTTGCTCTTAAAGCAGTTAAGAAGAAAAAAGGTTTTCAAGTTTACAAACATGAGAAGATAACACATGACCTTTCTGATTTCTTAATAAAATGTAACTTTTTTTGGTAATAAAAATCAAAGGAGTATTGGAATGGGACAGAAAGAAGCACGTAAAAAAGCAGCAAGGCAAGAAGCACCTTGTAAGCTGAGTGAAACCTCTATTCCTAGTAATCTGACATGTG